AAATTCAAAAAATTACTAATTTTTAAACTTAAGTTTGGGTAGAAATTTTTTTCTATTTGCAATAAGTGCATAGTAATTACCTTTAGAGTAATAATAGTACCAGTTTTGAAATTAGATTTTGGACGCTGAATACTTCACACCATGTTCAAAGCCAGTTTAGGGTGAAGGGAAGTTCAACCGGGTTGAACAGCGGATTCGTTGATATAGTTCAATAACTCATTTTTCTTTTGTTAGTTTTGGTGGTACGTTATAAGTAGTTTACGAATTTGTATCTCTGAAAAAAAATGTTAAGAGAATGAATAAATTTTTTTTTTAAAAAATTCAAATCCAAATTGAACGTTTCGTCACGTATTTATCTCATTTACGCTATTTAACTTTCATAAAATTAACTTTAAAAGGATTTTTTTTTAGTAATGGATATGAAATTAGAAAGTAATATTACAGTGCGCAAGAAAAAGAAATAAAGAAAAAGCAATTCGACCACCCAGTGTAACTATTGAGCTAATGATTGTCTCTTCACGTTCTTCAGTCTAATAGTTCGAGGGGGTGACCTCAGATATGCTTATTAATTAATGCAGACGATATTAAAATAAAAATTAATATCAGATTATAAATCAGGCACAAGAACGTACATTCTGACTTTCAACTAGTTTTTGGCTTCAATGTTGCTTACAAAAGATAAACCAATACAGTTTATAATGGATAAAACAAATGATCATAATTGTAACGGAAGATAATAAATGACTCTAGTTAGTAAATTGGAGCTTGTATAATATTGAATTGAGTCCGCTTAAGTCCGTAACCTTATATCAGCAAATAAAAAGTATCAAAATGTAAAAGTCAAGTAGTTCTAATTTATTACAGCAGCTACTAAGCTAAGCGTATAAATAGATGTAATTTTATGATCACGATGATTTATTTTGTAAAGAGTAAATTTTTGCACGCATTCATAATGCTTATCTTATATATTAGTACCATTGTATCCCACAAGATGGCAGCACTAAAGTATAAGATGCTTTATTTTTTTCAATCTTCATTCTAAGAACATTTTTATGAAAGGAAAATAATGCTCATATTTATTAAAAAAGAACTTTGTGTCGTACAATTATGACTTCAAATTAATTTAATGAGTGTCTTATTTTGAAATAAAATCTCATTGGTTCCATGTTCAGTCTAGCTGTCGGGAATTTACGTTTTATTGTGTTCTTTTATATCTTATTCATGAGATGGCAGCACCAAAGCATTCTTAATTGTTAAAAAAGTATTTGTTAAAATATTATGAAATAATCGACTCTCAAAAATTTTAATGATTGCGAAAAAAATGAAGGCATACAAAATCAGAGTTTAAATTTGTTTAAACCTTTAATTAATGGTTTAAAAATTCTTTTTAATTCTTCAAAGAGAATATATTTTTTCTTTGATAATTCGTAAGAAAACTAATGAAGCTCAAATTTGTTAGAACTCTACTCTTTATATCACATTAATATTTACTACTCACCTTTCCACTAGTAGAATATCTAAGTTTACATTCATCAATACTCAAACTGCTCACGATCGTCCATTTCCTGAAGTTTGGGTATTATATCGCTTCTTGTAATTATTCCAATTCAAAAAGTTTTAAATAGCTTGTAATATTTTAATTCAATAGAAAATGAGAAATATTGAAATTTCTCGATTTAAAAACATTATTAAATTTTCAAAGTATTGTTTTATGTTTTATTCACTTAAGTCTTCCAATACGATTTTCAAGGAAAATATGATTAATTTGCTTTCTGTTGTCTCTATACATACATTTCCATAAATTAACTAAAAGGTCCTTCACTATAAGCTCTACAAACATAAATTTTTAAAAGTATCGTCCCAATTCCATTATATTTTCACTCAGAGGAAAAAGTATATGTTGGAACTTCGAAAATCTGCCACTGTAACCGTAACCTTGAGAGCTGGGCAATTATTCATAACACTATCATTGAACTCGTAGCTTATAAATCGATATTTAAAACGTAGTTTAGCAAAGTTCTTAAAGAAAGGGAAATAAAAACAGTAACAGTTTAAGTGCCTTTTACATTTGAAGCAACGCTATACTTTTATATTCTCTTACCGCTAAGAATTATCTGGGCTTTAAGAACGGACAAATAACTTAAAATGTAATTTATTTATTATTTTTTTAAATTGTTTTTTTTTTTTTAAATGGCCATTTTGGCGACAGTTGTTTTCCACCAAGAAGAAAATGATTAAAATTACTGTTTTATTCTCTGCTTTTGCAACTTTTTATGAGCCCAGATAATGTAGCATTAGAGTAAGTTTTTGAATATTAAAAAATTAGACCACAAACGCTCTTCATTTTCACGAAATCATGACTTCATTCCATATTGACGTTTTGCGCCATTTTCAGAAAAAACCTAGACATCGATAGGGTAAACAGTCATGAGTTCAAACTCACAGCAGTTATGAAAATAGCATATTATTCGCAAAAAAGCATTATTTCAAAAGGCGACGGAGCTTTTGAAAAACAAAGTTTCGTTCTCTGGAACGGTAAGGTCACTAGAAGGTCGGCAATGTTATTTTATAATCACTCTGTACATAAGCTTAGGAAAATAAATAACCACATCAATAAACAAATGAAGACAGTTATAACAGCTACTCATACATTTATTGGACACAAATAAACATTCTATACATCAGGAATGCAATATGGAAACAACGTTTTTACACGCGACACAACACTTTGTCTAAACAAAACATGATTGTCTAATAAAACACATTTATGAAATGAATAACGGACACTCGGAATAGTTACATCTGACAATCACCACAATAATAGTTAATAAAAAGGGAATAGTTAAAAAGTTTAAGTTGTGTCCTTCCTGTTATTGGTTGCGAAGGGAATTGTTTTTGTTTAACAGAATTGAAGGGAAAAAGAAAACATTTCGAAAAATGATAAACTCTCGCATACACTGTGTTGCGTAATCACCGTATGTTGCGTAATCACTGTTTCAAATACTTTTTCAAAAATTAAGTAAAAAACATATATCTACATGGAAAATTCGGTTGTTTGTAAACTGCCGAAGTCATTTTGCAATGCGCCTATAAGACTCGCAACAATATGCATGACGACGGCAGTCTGCAAAGTGCCGAATTTTCCAACCAGCTTATGACATATACATAATAAGGGTCGAATATTAGAACAAAAGCAAAATACCATCGAAATTTGAAGAATCAAAATTATCAGAATGGGATATTCGAGAAGAAAAAGACCGCTGATCCACAACCACCTGACCTATAACCTCAGCGCCATCTGATTGTTTATAAACAAAATGGCGTGTTAACTGTTACAGCTGTTAGGCTTGTTTTATTGTAAACTTTTTTTGGTTAATAAAGAAAAATTAATGGCTCATTTCTTTTGTTTTGTCAAATATTAATTAGATTAATAATTTCTTTAATTTAAAATAATTCCTTAGTTATGAGATTTAGGTACGATAAATGATTACGAAACCCATATATCGAACTCAAATTTGGCGAGCTAGGCTTACTTGAAATAGAATGGAACGAACAATTGCTAACATAAACATATGCGACGTTTAAAGAGCCAATCAGAATCGATATCCGCGATGAAGTCACTTGCAGGTATCCAATTATTAATTACAATCGGCAAGTGCAAGCTCTTACTCTAAAACGATGTTATAAACATTTATATTAATTATTTCACATTAGGTGAACGTTTTTAATGCATATAAACATAACTAGAGGTATAAAATAATAAGCTAACTTTTTTTAAAAAAAATTCTTGTTTACAGAATTAAATTCACTAATATTATGTTATATCAAATCAGATCGGTTTTCATTTTTATTTCCCCACCAATTCCGATTATTCGCTCCATTCTGCATTTTGGTGATTTTCATCAAAATATGACGGGCAGTTAATCAGCATTTAACGGTATCGTATCCCTATTTAAATATTCACACTCCCATCCGGGCATGTAGAAGTAAAAAATACAACCCCGATGGGAATCTTTACATGCTTTCGGCTTGTCGGATAATATAATTTTCAAGCTCTGTTATGAGGTCATAATGGAATTTGTTCTAAATTTACTTAGATTGCTTTTCAATGATGATTTAAAGTAAATTTTGCTGTATGTAAGATTTTTTGAGTGTAACTGACATGGATAATGATTCGTCAGAATTTTATAATGGTTTTTTCCCTATACATTAAATTTTCACAAATGGGTGGGTTTTTATGATTTCAGTTTTGGCAAGGATTCTAAGAAATATACATATCAAGATTAATGATTATAGAACACTCCAATAATATTTATTTCAGCTATCTGAAAACTGATTAGAAGAATCGGCCAAAAACAAATGAGCAGAATAAATCCAACTGAATCTTTATTTAACAGACTTGAAACATAAAACGAATAAATGAATCTAGAGGTTCGATGTAGTATATCTAATTCAAATTTATTGGCTTGATTCATAAACTCGAATTTAATATAATTTGAATATATTGATTTCAGCCATCGGGAAATCCTTTGGGTTTGAGCCTTTGATTTTATTTCATTCATTTTAATATATTTTCTGGACTAAAAGGACAGACACTCATCTACAATTTAAAATTCATGTTTTGAATCAGCCATAGCAAGATTCAACCGACTTTTTCGATTTAGACGCATTGTGCTGAATTATTTTAAAACAATTGAAATAAATCAATGGATGAACGCCTTTTGAGTCGAAATATGTTCGAGAATTTTACTCGAAATCATCAGATTATAACCAAATGAAACTAAACTGAATAAAAAAATATTTAATTAAAATAAGTGATAAAATGATAGGAATATCTGATTCAGTAGTACAAAAAAAAAAAGCAAAAAAAAAAAACGNAAAAAAAAAAAAAAACACTGAATCAGTAATAATAATAACAATTAAATTATGTTTTTTGAAATGTGTGTTTTGTTTTTAAGTGTACTCCCTTTAAGTGAAATTGCTTAAAATGTTTGATTTTCTTGTTAAGGAAGGAAATTTTTTCCTGTTAAAGGAATCCTGGATGTTGATTCTAGGAATCTTCTTCTCCGAATTGAGCATACACAGGCTGTGTCCACGGCAACCCAGTGAGGCCTCCATGTGTCACCAGATGTCCTTCCGTACACTTGAACCCATGACTTCTTCGGTCTGCATATGGATTGTATATTCTCTGCATAAACGAACAATTCATTAGAAATTTAAAAATACGGTAAAACTTCGTTAAGGCAAAGGGTACCAAAACTCTTTTTGTATCAACCGTTAAAACAGTAAAATGCTTTTAGGATCATTTATAAAAAATAACTCAAATAACGAACATATTATATATCTTTAGAGAAATGTTCAATAGTCATTTTTAATTAACCCACTGATGGTTCTGCACGTAAAAAGTCATATTTTAACCTTAAAAGTCGTATTTTCTCCTCAAAGCAAAACTGCTTTTCCAATGTACTTCGATAGGGAAATAAGTGTATAGGGGAGAATGATTCTCCCACTTTTGCTCGTTCGCTAAAAAGCCAGAGGGTTAATTAGTATTTCCTTTCACAACTAGAGCTCCAATATAATTTTAGTTTGTCTATGGTAAGAACTCCCCCAGCCACACAGTCTAAGGCCATCTATCGCTATGGAAACAAGAATAGGGCATTTCAGGAAGGGTAGCTTCTCCTCACTCTAGGGCTAACACAATAGATCGAAGGAAAAGATTCCCTTTCTCTTGCCGACCCAAGTCAACACCTGTCCTAAACAATGATCCCACATCCCTCCTTGAAATAGTTATACCTCGTTACCATAGTCACCACCACGGGTCCAGACAAATGGCTAGGGGAGTTCTTACTTCAGTCAAACTATAGAATCAACAACGTGCTAACAACTAAATGATCACAACGTCATACAAGAATACCTCGATAAGCAGGGAAAGAAAACAATTAGATTTTCTTCCCCCAGGGTTACCACCTAGGTCGACCCCCCTCACCCCTTCGTCAAAGCCCCCTCATGTGGTCAGTTAGGGCAGATTGATGTGAACTAATGGTGATCCTTCAACCTTAATTCTAGGAACAAATTCATTATTCTAACAGTTCAAGAAAAGCGATGAGCATCTATGAAAGATCACTGAAAAGGTCACAATGAGGTCGAAAGATTAATTTTTACTATCGGCTTTCATTATGTATAATCACTTCGTCTTAAACGGGTGATGTATATACTTTTTATGTCCGTATTAAATAATCCGATTATTATTGTTTTGAAAGATGAAGCATTAGAGAAACTATTTTCTTTAATCTTAAAAATTTGAGTTAAGCGTTTTCGTCTTAACGAGGTTTGGCAGTAAGTAAATGAATTAGCAAAAACGAACAAACAATTTTTTTATGATTTATTAAGTTAAAAAGTGGTTACACGTTCTATTGTTTGAAAAATAAATCTTTTTAAATTTGTTTCATGTTTTAGTATTATGTTCAGGAATAAGAAAAATTTAAAAAAGTATGAAAAGCTTGTTTATAAATAAGTGATAATTTAATTGAAAATGAAATTTTTATATAAAACTTTTCCTTAGATCTGTATCTAGATAGTTTTTTTTAACAATTGCCGGTATGTTCACTAGATGGCAGCTCAGTTATTAAATGCATCTTGTTGCGCTCATGGAAATCGTGGTGCTCTTCCCCGAGATCGCGCTTTAAAAACAAAAACATTTTCCTGAACAACTTGTAAAATGTGGTTAATCACAACATTGCCTCAGGCATTTCCTACGATGAAATAAGTATTCCATTTTTACAAAAACTACGAACTATTGCAGAAATATAAGTAGTTTATTATCCCAAGTGACTTGTGTCACATCGGCATTTAATCAACGCAAAATTTTAAGTTTGTTTTTTTATTCCATAATTGATATTTTTAGAATCGTTTGCTTTGAAATTAATGTTTTTTTTCTTTAAACTTTTAATTGGGTATAATATGAAAAAAACACAACTACTTCGATTTAGTAGGAACAACATATGACGCAATGCTAAACGAATGGAATTTAGTTGTTGTTTATTTAGTTATTGTTATTAGTAGTTGTTGTTATTTGTTTTAGTTGTTGTTGTTTATTTAGTTGTATTTAGCTTCAATAACTTTTCTTTATAATGCAATAAAATCTGGCGAGCAGCTATTTAAACGATCGAACACTTCGTTTGTTTATTTGTGGCTTGAAGTTAGACTCGCAGAAAATGCCGTTCATGGGTTAAATTTAGTAGGAACAACACAACCTGTGACGTAGGCTATATTATACCCAATTGTTTTATTCGTATGATATAAACTAAATAAAAAACGCTTTATCGTAAATTGGTTTTAAGCAACGAATTGGTAACTGAACAAAATAATTTGAAAGAGAAACTAATTCAATCTTTTTAAAATATTATTTCCTTTTTTTTCCTTAAGTAGACAAGAATCGTTTGAGAAAGCTTACCCTATAACTGCGAGACATAGTTTTTAAAAAGAACGGTATTTAAAACAAGCATTTTTATTATTTCAGTTAAAAGTGGATAAACCCTTTTTATTATATAATTCTTATTAATCTCATCACAAAAGATGCCACTCACAATTATTAATTTGAAAATTATTGTTAATCTTATTATTAAACTCAGTGAAGCGTCATAAGACTGCAATAGTAATGTTATAGTAGTTATTAAGATAATGATTAAAAAGAATCTAAATATTTATAGCATCTTTATGTTGTATAAATGTAATTTAATTTTATTGAATAAGGTTCTGAAATATCTATTTCAATTATTTAAGAAAATCTTTTAAATTATAATGATATTGATACATTTTGATTTATAACATAATCGCCGCACTAAAATTTATCAAATATGTATTTCTTTTCGTTGTATTCTTTAAATGGTTATTTTTGGTAAAATGTCTTTCTTACACTGATTTCCCGAATTTGGAATTCGTGCACATTTGTAAGTAATTATATAATTGAAAATAATTTTGTAATTGTAAATAATTATAAAATTGTAAATAATTATGTACTTAGAAGTAATTATGTAATTTGTAAATTAAGAAAAAAAAAAGAACGATAAAAATTTTTTTTTGTTCAAAACAGAAATTTTTCATAGAAATGAGAAGTCATCAGATAATGTTTGGCGCTTTCATCTCATTTTTGACCAGCCTGATTTAAAAGAACTTTATTCAGTAGTTAAGAGCATGAACATGTTTAGTTAAATTAAAATAATTTTCAGACATAAAAATCTTAAACTAATACCGCCGAATTAACACTTTTTACCTGCGTCCGTACAACGACCCTATCAGCCGTCTAGTTTCGTAACTCTGGATGCTGCTGCCTGACCGTTAACTATTATATGCTTGAGACGAAACTAGTTATTCGTTCATTCGACAATTTATAGATAAAAATAGGTATTTTGGATGCAAGGTAAACTACTGCTTGCTTATTTTCTTTTGTATTGAGAATTTTAAAAAGCATTTAATTATACTATACATTTTAAAATGCATAGTTTAAGTTGAGTTATTAATTTTTAAGATCTTCTCCATAATCTTTTAAAATGGCTGAATTTTGAAACTGTTCTTTTCAATCTTGGAGGTTTTTTACGCAGTTTAACCCTATTACTGTGATTTCGGCACATAGTCGACACTTGGTTATAGAGAACGTTTTTAGTTGTCTACTGTTATTTAACTAATGTTACTTCATTCGCTTATAATGAACAGTTAAAAAATGGGTAGTTCGCTTATAGTGGTCTCGCTTTTCTTTTTTGCAGACATTTAAATAAATGTTGCGCAGTTTTTAGTCTATGACTCAATGTAAGTTAAAAAGTGTATAACGATGACTTTTAATGAAAAATGAAGTAATACACGTTGAACTAGGCACACGCGAGAGTGAATATGTTGCCCAGATATTTCCTCATAAAAATGCAACTTTCTTTCAAAAATGACGAAAATCAAAAGGAAAAATAGCTGAAATATTAAAAAAAAGACAAAAATTGTGAAGATATATAGTTAAAATACTCCCTCGAAGGATACAACACTTCGTTATATGGAAAATATTTTGATTGCTCTTTATTGTTTAGATTGAAATTTTCATTATAGGACTAACTACTATATCGAAAATTTCAGCGAAAGTAAACATACTGAAAATTACTTTTTGTTTACTTTCTTTTACATTGAGAATTTTCGAAAACTAATTTAAAATGCATAATTGAATTTGAGTTCATCATTTTTGCATAGTGTTCTTTTTAAAATTTAATCTCGTTTCCATTATCTTAAAAACGCGTTTAGTTGTCCGAACTGAACTGTTATGAAAGTAATATTACGTCATTAGCTTCTAGTGAACAGTTAAGGAATTGGTAGTTCGCTTATAGTGGTCTCAATTTTCCTTTTTATCGACGTTGAAATGAATGTATGCAGATTTGTTAGTTTATGACTCAATCTTGTAAGTTTAAAAATGCTTAACGATAACTTTAATTAAAAAAATGAAGTAATACACTTTGAATTAAGCACACGGGAGAGTCAATTATTTGATCAGAGATTCCATCTTGAAAATACAACTTTCTTAAAAAATGTCGAAAATAAAAATAATTAACTGCTAAAAAATTGAAAAAATAAATATTTAAAAATTATTTATAAGGAAATACATTTACTTCGTTATTTGGAAAATGTTTTGAATGTTATTTAAATTTCTCATTAAAGCCGCGGTGGTTCAAGGGACAAAGCCGTTTGGCGCAAAATATCCTCAGAGGTAGACGGGTCATGGGTTATAATCCCTTTGCGAAGTCCTTCACGAAGGCTACTTTGTCCCAATGCTTGATCCAAGAGTTCCCTTGTCTTCGGAGTTGAGTTCAAACTTAAAGGCTACGGAGTTGAACATTGATAGCCGAAAACTCAGAATTGGGTCTGCTGTTCAACGCCGGTTATAAAATAAAATAAAATGCTTCGATTGAAATTTTCGTTACAGTAAGTGAAACGCTGCTAAGAAACTTTGTTGAAGAGGATTCAACAGTTAGTTATTACTTTATAAAGCAAATTATGAAATATTGCAATCAATAGTTCGATACAGGGTTATTCATAATTCCCTCCCCCTGTAAACGCCATTTTTCTTTACTACAACTGGCTTCAGTGGTACATGTTACTGCCATCTACCGGCAACTGCTTAAATTGAAACTTGAATACTTTCGTAATAATTTCATATGTTCTTTTTTGCCATATTCGTCTTCTTTTTTTGACTATAACGCTTCGAAACCCTGGAGGGAATTATGAATAACCCTGTACTAGTGCAATATGCTAAAAAATATTTTTTCAAAGATTTCGGATATAGTGATCCTTAATTTATAATGGATTTATTGCTGGGTTCCACAGGCAGTTCAGTAAAGTGGGGTTTAACTGTATTTCAGGATGATTTTTTTTATTAATATCGAATTTTCACATACTAAGTTTAAGTAAGCATGGAATCCCATTTGAATTCTAAATGCTAAATATCAATAAACTTACGTACTCATACACGAGAACGCACTTTTCTCAGCGATTTAAATAACATTTAATTCCAGTAAGATTAAGTTCCATTATATTTAATTGCCATGACATTCTGCTCCACGATATTTTGTTTTGCTAGTGATTATAAACGAATTTATTATTTTTTCTGAGCAAAAATTTGTTATTCTATTTGTGAACTTTTTTGTCCACCACTGTAGGAGCACTGTAATTTTTGTCCAAATGTAGGAACTATGACAGATTCTGGTTTACTACAGGTCACCAGCAACTGATGATACAAAACGGTTTATCAAATACTACTCTACCGCAATCATTGATGATTATAATTATGTATTTAATCCGAAAACATCGCAATCATTATTGATAAATAATATATCGCGATTACTACATAACATATTAAAAATGTAACATCGCGAACATTATGCATATCGACAGTAATTGGGTACTTGCACTTCAAGAAAAATACAACAGATACCTACACACGTGACTTATGACGTCAGCGCCAGCGGCTCGTTTTTAAGCAAAATGGTGTGTTAAAGTGGAACTAAGTTTTTCCACTTAAGTTAGAAAGTTAATCAGCATGAAGTTAATTAAATGCACAGCCGTATCGAACATCGGATTTGTTGAAATATAATTCTTTTTCGTCTACATCTTTTACTTAACTTAGATTTATTATTTGATTACGTATTTTATCGTAACCGTGATATATTTTTGTTTTGTGTAACCTGGCAACTTCGATGCATAATTAGTTTGTTTATGTTCTACATGGCTTCGTGCTGTCTTTGTGTTAAGGGAAAAAATGTATAGTGAAAGAATTGAAATCTTAGTGATGGAATATAGAATGTGTCACTCAGGAGAATTGATACTTGGCAGGTTTGGCTTCTTCGAAATAGAATGGAAAGAACAGTTGCTAATGTAAGCAAATGCTACTTTTAACAACCAATCAGGATCGAGATACCCACAGAGCGACACTTGCAGGTATCCCATTAAATACGATATCATTGTGAGTAGGGTAATGAAAATATTGATTTGGGAAAATATTTATTTGGGTGAGGAAAATATTGATCGGTGTAAAATTAAAGGAGAGAAATTTCGAAACATATTGAAATTATATCAATCGACTTATTGGCATCATATTGAAGCGAATATCAGTGTTTTCTTATGATATTAAAATCCAGCTCTTATCTTTTATGGGAAACAATGTTCGTGTTGGCGACAACGCAGAAAAGCAGTCGCCAATACATGGTCCCTGAAACTGATTAGAATCAGATGTCTATTCTTTTCACTTCTTGTAGATAATCCGTGATGGGTGTGCCACACATAGTTTGTCTATGGAAGGAATTCCCCTCCCCACAAAGTTTAAAGCCCTCTGCAGCTATGTATAGTGTTTTCAATATAAATGTAAACAACAACAATCTCGAGTGCTTGACCTGATCTACTTCCGGTTAGAAAACTTACAGCTGCTTACTACAGCTTATTCTGTGAAGCAATATTTCCAAACAGATAATTTTGCTTTTAATTAAAGAAATAAACTAGGTAATTTCTGAGCTCAAATCTTCTGTATTTTTATAAGATATTAATGATATTATGTAATTCTGGTGATAACAATTCTTTTTTTAAAACGCAAACATTAAATCGGGTAAAAAATACACGCATATAAGATATACTACTTAAGAGAGACTCAAAACACAATGATCACGTTGTGAGCCAAATGTCTTCAAAATACACCGGAAACAGTAACCCGGAAGTATTAGTTAAGAGCTTGCAGTGCCCCCTAGTGTAGAAAAAACACCATTGAAACAAAAAATATCGCATTTCATAGAGGGTTCTCTCTTCTTTGAGATCATTAAACTGGCAAACCGTAAACCCGAGACAAAAACCTGTTTTAAATATTGATCCAATGACCTTACTTGAAATAGTTAAATCTCGTAACCACGGTTACCGATACTGTTCCAGAGAAATGGCGAGGGGAGTTCTTTACATAGACAGACCATAAATTAGTGAATAATGCTTTTTTTTGTTTTATCTTATTTTACAACCGTCGTTGAACAGAACAGCAGACCCAATTTCAGGTTTACGACTACTGATCCTCAATTCCTTAGCTTTGTCATTTTGAACGCAATTCAGAAGACAATGGAACTCCTAGATCAAGTATTGGGTGAAGTAATGCCTTCGTGGAGGAATTTTTGATGGAAATCCGCATTTGCGTAATATGGATAGGAAAACTACGAAAACTTCCCATGCTTAGCTTGACGGCAAAGAGACTCTGACCCGTGATCCGTCTACCACTGATGATATTTCACGTCAGCACTGCTGTCGATGCGAGCCGGGGGCTGGATTCGTGTCAACTAGTCATCGTTGGGATTCGAATCCGGTTCATCTCATTGGAAGGCGAAGGTTCTATTCCCTGAGCCACGGCTGAGTGTACTGTACTTACGCAATCTTTCCTTACTGTTTTCAAAAAAAAAAAAAANAAAAACTACCGTCGATGCCTCTGCATGATTTTCCTGGTACTCTGCACCTTGTGACGAATACCCATGCATCTGGGTGTATTTCTACAGTCAGCAAGTCAACATTGATAGCTGTATCAAGCTGTTCAAAACTCTGCACTGATGAACACACTTCTACGAGTTCAATGTCATCGCTTACGAGGCTCCTTTTCTGAAAACAAACAAATTTTTTTCTTTAAAATATGAGTGTAATAATTACATCGGGATGTTCTAAATAAAGTTACCCTGTTTAAATAAAAATGGAATTCGTTCTGGTTGATAGATGTCGATGAAAATTAATACCAATGTAATTATAAAAGCCCGAAGTTTGGTAAATTTTAGGTTTAATCATTAAAACCTAGGATTTACCAAATTGGTTTGGTGACTTGTGTTGCTAAAAGACCGAAATAGAATCATATTAAATCATACTTCGAACTTTTCGCCATGCCACCTTAATAGAAACTACGTCTTACCTGTGAAATCTAGGATTTACTAGATTTTGGTGCTGAACGTAATATTTTTAAAAGCCCGAAGGAAAATTTTAGGTTTTATTTACTGGTTTAACTTAGGATTACCGCAAAAATTAGGATTTGGCTTAGGTTTTATCGCATAGGCTTGGTAAGAGGTCGAAGTAGAATCCTATTAAAGCAAATTTTAGACTTTTACCAAACTAGGTTTTACCGGTAAAACCTAGGATTTATCAGACTTCGGGATTTTATCGCAGCATATGGGGCATGGGAAAAGTAAATCTATAATAAAACTAGTTCTTATTTCGACAAATAGATGGCGCTTATCTGTCGAGACAGGATGCTGGTGCAATTTGAAGTGGTTTAAAAATTCAGTGGCAATTGGAGCAAAATATTTTTTCCTACATTAATAATGCAGAGGAACTGAAAAAGATGATTAACAAATTCGAAGAGATTAGGGAGTTCGAGATGTACTGAAAGTACCGATATAAGATGTAATGCAGGCAAATCACGTCTTGGTGCTGAAATGGTGCCTAACCATGGCACCAAGAGAACCAATCTATACCAAGAGAACCACCCTAGACAATAATTCCATTGACACGTATAGGATGGGTGTCCAAACAATTATTGGTGTATTTACAATATTGGTATATAATTTACTTTCCAAGTATCATTTACTTTCCATTTATACTTTCCAAGAAAATTGGAAATAGAGAAAATATGAGGAAACAACAAATAATGGTTTGTAATCAATTGCGAAGATTTAACGATTATAAAAGCAATATTTACCTTAGAAAAATTGAAACAAAATTATTTACGTTTCTGTTTTTGATTTTTAATGGTTACCGTATGGAATATAAACAACATTAAAAAGAATAACTAAAATAGATTGGAGTGCAGGAATTAGGATTAAAATATGTAACCGTGATTCGATAAAGTTTTACGTTGTTTAAACTTAAGGAAGTTGAATTCAGTTTGCTATGGCTTGTTTAAGCTTGCAGTGGATCTTGGTAGTTTGAAAGTGAACTTTGTAATTTCACTAATTTATTATGTGTTTAGATGAGAGAAATCTATTTATTTTTATGTGAACTATTTATGAAAAAAGCTACGCTATGTGCTAGTTTTATAAAAAATATCGAAAATTTAGTCAGGTATTAATTAACTGCAAGTATTTTTAATTAAAATAAGTTTAGCTTTTAAATTATTTGGTCACAGATAATGAATTGTCATGATTTGTGACATTTTGGTAACTAAAAAAACCTAAATAAATCTTTGAGATAAGTATTACAAGAAATTATTTCTTGACTTATAAATTAAAATGTGAGTTTTACGAAATAAACGCATTTTTTGCAAAATTTTTTGAAAATTTTAAATATTTTTTCTTATGTAATTAAATATATATTTCTGAAATTATATCAAGAAAAATTTGTTCCAAATGAAACAAAGTTTTAGGAAATTAAGATTAGCTTTCAAAACTAGAGGCTCGAAGGAAATTTTTTTTAAAATTAGGTGCATTTAAAATGTATTTATAAATGAATATGTGAACAAAGTTCCAGAAAGTTAAGATTAGCTTTGAAAATTAGAGTAAATGACTTTTTTTCTCAATCAGGTGTATTTGAAATGTATTTAAAAATGATTTTACGAACAAAGTTTTAAAAAATTAAGATTAGCTTTCAAATTTTTTTTTAAAATTAGGCTTATATAAAAATGTATTTTAATTAATTTTCCGATTTTTTTGTTTACAATTTGGTGTGCTAAATATAATTTTTATGTAATATTAATTTAATGTATGCGAAGAAAAAAAATCAGGTTTCAGGCATCAAAAATATTTTTAATATATATATATATAGTTAAAAATCTAGTGACAACATGGAAAATAATGAAGAAAAATGAAAGGAGAAGAAGAAAAATTATTAAAATAAAATATTTTTAAAAATTATTAAAAAAAATTGCTAGTGATTGTTGACATTCACCGATGAAAGTCGACATTCTCTTGATTTAGGTCATCTACGGTAACATATACACCAAAAACAAAATCATAACTAGAGTCTAGACTAGATATAGCACAAGTAATGCAAATTTGAATGATAAAATCGTCATTTCTCTAATTAAATATTTAAAAATGGTTTTTATTCAGGCTATAACGTTCACAATTACCTAATTTAACTTTATTTATATAATCGNTTCAAAATTAAAGTTTTTGTTTCCATGCATTTGCCTAATTAAAAAATATAAATTAAGAGATATTAAAATATTTTTTTTTGTGAAATAAGATGACTGGCGTCAAATATTTAGTCAATTTGGTTTGCAATAAAAATATGAAAAGATTTATAATTTATTTGAAGCTCCATTATAACACACTGTTCCTTAATTTTGCCTTAATTAATTTAATTTCTATAATAGATAATGCGATATATCTATAATAGAATGCGAAAATGTTTTTTCCTTATCAACTGTTCGTTAAATTGTTGGAAAATGCATTGCATTTTTTGTAAAAATCAAAAAAAAAATTATATATTAATTACAATTTGCTGCTTTTCTCGAAACTTTAGTTGGCAAATTAATAATCATTCTTTAGAAAAATATTAAATTTAGATGATTTTTATTACCTGTATATTCCTTTGGGCATCTAGAATTTCGTTTACTTCTAAGGAATAAGCTGAAAGAAGAGTAAAAAAAAAAGCATTTAGAAAACTACTTAATTAATTTTTAATCTCAGTTTTGAAACATATTAAGTTAAAAATATAGAATAAGTTAATAAATACACATAAGTTAAAAATATAGAAGATATGGAAAAAGATATAAAGATTTTTTAAAGGAGAAGAAAAAAATATGGTATAAATGTAAAATGATATAATATTTTGTTATGATCTCTGAAAGATATTTTGTTTGGTGAAATAAATTTTATATCAAGCACAATTAAAAGAGTTCTTTATAGTATGCCCCAGGAAGATATATTTTGAGCTTTGCAATTGCCTAAAGACAGTTGCATAGCAAAATCTTTGATGTCATTAATTTTTCATTTGGCAAACTCAACATCAATATAAATTTTTTTAATGATATTTGATTATTTCCTGTGACGTAGCTTAAAAAATTTCAAACTGAAATCTTATATTTGATGCTATTTTAAAATCAAAAACTGATCATAAAATGAAAATTGATGATACGCAAGGTGTGAAATTTTTTTGTCAAACAATTGCTTTAACAATTGCTTTAACGAAGTTCTTCACAATTGTCAGCATTGAAGAAGTAGTGCTTGTCTTACCATGAATAACATTCGCCGACTTTTGTTAGACCAAATGTCCACTTAAGGATTGCGGAACAATGCGCGCCAATTCATTTAAAAATCAACGCAAGCTTTTATGCATCGATATAAATGAACAAGTTTGCTATATTGTGGATAGCTGCCCACGCCACAATTTAGCAGTAATATTTTGTCTATAAATGCAGAGCAGAACCCCGTTTATCAGAATCTTTCTGGTAACAAAAATTCATTCAAATTTTTTAACACATGCCTTCATATCTTTTCGCAATTTAGATAATATGCTGTCGTAATTAATGCATACAAGAGGTGTTTAACCCGTTTATATATGCTAAATTTTATTTTTTTGTATGGAATTATCTTTAGATAAACGAATTTTATGATCAAACTTGCAAGTTTTTGAATTCCCTTAAAAAGTTCTCGACCTATGGCGAAATAGGCAAAAAATGAAATTAACTTTAAGGGGTCCAAAGTTTGGATCACTTTCCTAACCAAATTGGGAATCAGAAATCCGAATCCATCGAAAAAAAGGTATGTTTATTTAAAGAAAGCATGTTTTTGTATCTGATTTCGTCTGTACTTATTAGCATATTTAAGGTTATCCCCTTCAACCTATAAGATTGAGTTCTAGAACGTGACGATCTGTTTATTAGATCAAAAGGTATTCAGAGTGGACGGTTTTTTTTGGCGCACTGTACATTACTGAACTTGGATGTAAGGAACTACTTAACCAAAAAAATGAACAACTTGTAAAAATTGATACTTTTGATACGATTGGTCTTAAATTGTTTGTACCGGTTGTTATATTACATTAAATAATAATGCATAAAATCGCTACCCATAATGATAAAATTCTTTCTTCTGTTTCTTTTTACTGATGAGGATTTCAAGGAAGACATAAATTAATGTTTAGCTGGAAATAATAGAGGATACTTTGTGTTATGTTGACTAAAGCAAAGCACAAATGAAAGCACAGAAGTCAATCAGTTCTATGAACAAAAATCTTCTTTAGTGTCAAAACAACAAATAATATTAGGGAAGTAAAGAGACAAACACGTGCAATGTAGTTAAACCAATGATTAAAGACGAACAAGTTTGAACAAGGAAATAAAAGGAAAAAAAAGAAAGATGAGAAGCAGGTGTGATGTTGTTTGGCCGAAATCCCAGGATGCAAAAGATAAAATTAGGATAGATTTCCAAACATTAGATAAAGGTGGTACACCAGAAATATCATGAACTAAATTGTTAAAATTTTTCAAAATTCGGAATGATTCCCAGAAATCAAGTTCGGTAGATAATGAGCAGTGTTGAATGATTTTAACAGAAGAAAACTCAAACCTGTGATTAGAATTCTAAATATGTAGACCGCTGGACGATAAGTAAATGTTCTGATTTTTTTACATATTTAATGTGTCTTGGAGGGTACTTTTAGTTTGTCTAATTAACGTAAGACCACATGGACATGAAATTTGATAAATACTCCAATTATAAGTCTGAGCAATAGGATCTTTAAAGTTGGTGAAATTTAGTTTATTTTAGAGTAGAACTAAAGTTTAGAACTGAAATTTATTTTAAATCTTTGCAATTTAGATTCTAATTTTTGGATAAGTCAAAACAATCAATTAGTTAAAAGTTCGAATTAGAGTTTGGTGGATTTCGAGAATATTCTATAAATAGAATTAATGAGATCAAAAGGAAAACCGGCGTTTACAGCGATTGCTTTATGGTAAAGGAGCTTTTCACTGGGGAGGATAAATTGTAAAAGCACGGTAAACAAGTGAGTATAAGGCAACTTTGGTTAAGGGAATGGAATGGATGGTTCTGAGGGGGAGGGAGTAAAACGGTTTTCGACAAACAGTAGTAATAAATTCAGTGAATGTTTATACTTACAACTAACTGAAGATACAAATACAACTGCCAAAGATAGACTAAATGTTACTCTTTGATTTAGAAATCTTGCTCTTGAGCTCTGGGCCATGTAGTCAGTCTGAAAAAAATTCTTTAATTACACAAATTTTTTTGAACTGAACTTGTTCTAAATTATGGCAAAAGAAATAAAAGCATTACTCCTCCTTATGGGGGTGGATATCTAAACTATTAACCAAACAAAAAAAAAATTCAAAAATTAGTATTTTATTTGTATACAAATATACATTTGTATGTATATTTGCATGTTAGATATAGATACACATTTTAAAATTAAAATAAACATTTAATAATATTCGAGCAAATTTCGAATTACAAGGTACACAAATTTTTACATAATTTAAGAAAAAAAAATGCAAATTAAATGAAAAAATACAAAATTTGAGCGAAATCGGTCGACGATTTTTCAAGATACGAAATTGTGTGTAATTATTGAATAAAATAACCAAAATAATTGTTAATAGTTACAAATTTATTCCTCCTTTTTTATCATAGGATGTTCAAAAACACTATTTTTCGTTTGTATTTTACTGTCGGCCCCTAAAACCTCTAAAAGCTTTAAACTTCATTGTTAAAAAATCGCATGATCTAAGCACTTCTGAAGTTATAAAATGATTCTTTAATTATTTCTACAGAAACATGAAAAAATGCTCTAGTATAGAAGTGTTTNTTAATAAAAGAAATCGTTCACCTGTAAGTTACTAATCTCTCATTTAATAGCCATTTTTACACTGTTTCACTGTTTTATTTATTTATTTTTCATTCTGTTCGCTGTGATATTTGAAACCAAGAATTTTCCCATCGGTCAGCAGTGGGGGCGTGTATTTCCTGTACGAAGGGACGAATACGGGATGATTTGGTAGAAGTTTTCACCATGGAAATGTTAAAGTTCACTTGAAATAGAAAATTTTTTTGGTGGAATTTAGACACAGAACAATTATCTATTTAATGAATTGAAAATTTAATTACTCAAACATTAATTGAAAAATTGTAATCTTAGAAAGGGCCCTTCATTTACAAAATGTGAGGGGACTAAAGCTTTTTCTGCCCCCTCCCCCGGGTTCCTGGTAAGAAGTATTTAATTTACTAATATAGATATTAGGGTGATAGGTTTTTTTACAACTCCCCAAAATTGCAAGCAGAAAATTCTGGTAAAATTACCGTGCTATATGATATTCATATTTCTGGTGAAATGCTGGTCATAAAAATCAAAATGTGCGGTATTTAAACCATTTATTTGGTGATTTTTCCGTTCTTATACTAACGGTTTTCCAGAAATTCTGAATTTCAAAATTATAGTTTTTGTTTCCATGCATTTAGAAAAAAAATACAAAACGGAAAAGTACATTTAACAGAATAAATGGTTTTTAGGCCATGCTCTAAGTTGTCATGATAAAATCACCAAATCTTACCATGCGTACCAAATTTTATCACACACTATAAACTACATTTTATCGTTAATTTTACCAAAATCAATACCATATCATGTGATTTTTCTGTCCAATGAGAATGCATGAAACGCCAAGGCGATATATATGTATTTTTTAATAAATCGAGATTTTTTTTATCTTGAAATTAAACGAAAAAAAATTCTTATTCATTTGATATTTGAATCTAGTTGAAGTGAATGTAAAATTTTAGGTCCTGCCTTGCATATTTAAATATACTTTGAAAGATTCTTATTTTAGAACAAAACTTGCCGGGCGATAATTTTAGAAGTAGTTAATTAAAACGATTTATCCTGTTAAGAAGTCGTTTGGCTAACAATACTCTTAATTTGGAATGATGACAGTTAACAATTGGGCAAATAGTATCGCATTACGCATAAAATGGTGTTTTCTCACGTATACAAGCAATTAAATACTCAAGAAATGTCAAAGAAATTTACCAATATAATCTTTTAAAACTTCTTAAAAAGAACTGGCTTTCATTTTTGTAGCTACTAATTGTCGCCAGCACGCCAACCGAGTTATTAACATGTAATGGATGTAATCCGTGCCAGCTTATTTTCGCTTATTTCCTGCTAAATATATCGAATAGGTTTTAGCTTCTGAATAATAATAGGTACGATAATAATACATTTTAATGCCTTGAGGGATATTTTAAAAAAAAACGAAACAAAAAGCATATAATATTTACAGAGTTTGCAATTTGTACTTTGATATGTTACTTACTTGTAACAAAAATGACTTCAGTCATTAATGTCTAGTGTCCCTTTATAAAATACTTAAGCGTTAACTTGCCGTCATACAATTCACAAATTACTTTTTAATATTCATCTCGATTAAATTTTATCACTAGCAAGTGATAAAATTTAACATCGTAACATCGGTTCAGAGAATAGAGTACTCGCCTTCCAATGAGAAAGCCCGGGTTTGAATCCCAGTGATGGCTGAAAGATAGAAATTCTGCACCCGGCTCGCATTGACCACAGTGTTGACGTAAGTATATCCTCAATGGTAGACGGATCACGGGTTAGAGTCTCCTTGCCGTCAGGCTAACCGAGGTTTTCCTCATCATGTAATGCAAATGCTGGTTAGTTCCATGAAAAAGTCCTACACTAAGGGAAATTTCTTCCAATACTTGACCCAGGAGTTTCCTTGTCTTCTGGACTGGGTTCAAAATGACAAAGCTACGGAGTTGAACAGTGGTAGTCGTAAATTCAAAATTGGGTCGATTGTTCAACGAAGGTTATAAAGTAAAATAAAATGAAATATAATTGCATGCTGAGCCATGGTGGTTCAGCGGATAGACCGTTCGCCTCCCAGTGAGATGTTCCAGGTGCGAAACCTAGCGGTGTTTGGTTGATACGACATCGACTTACGTCTCGCACCGAACACAGTGCTGAAGTAAAACATCCTCAGTGGTAGATGGACCATGGGTTAGAATCTCTTTCCCGTCGGACTAACCGTGGAAGGTTTTTCTCTCTATGTAACTCAAATGAGGGTTAGTTTCATAAAAAAGCCCTCAATGAAGGCTGGTTTGTCCAAATACTTGATCCAAGAGATTCCTTGTCTTCTGGTATGGGTTTAAAAGTTCAAGTCCACGGAATTAAACATTGATACCTGTAAACTCAGAATCAACTTGGCCATTCAATGCTGATTATAAAATAAAATAAAATAAAATATTATTGAATGCAATAGATTTGAAAAACTCAAGTGATGATTGTTTCAGGTTGATGTAGAAGTAAATCAATATGTTTTTTTTTTAAAATTAACTTTTTTTATTATTTTGTTCCAATTTTTTTCTATTAACTATATTTATTTTTCATCAGGTTTCAATCATTAAAGAGGAAAATTCAAAAGGGTTCGAGAAAATTTCTTACTCGGAAACTAATAAACTCAACAGGCAGAGTAAAAGGAGATAGTTAGATGATGTACCAAAAAAACATGAATATAATTATAACTGGAACCATGGCTATCGCGACAGACCTTTAATTAGACCGTGGTTAACAAACAGACTCTTAGCTAAACTTATGGTTAACGAACAGATAGAACCTACTGAGGACTTGAAACGCTATAAAATGAGAAATTTTTAATTTTTTCTTCTTTTAGATCGCTTTAAGTTTATAAGAATTATAAATCTGCTATCCTAGCATAAATTTTAAATAAATTGAGAAAAAATATGGTAAAAACTGCCAGATTATGGTAAAATATTCCGTGTTTCTGGCCCTATGGAACAACAAAAAGATTTTAATAAAATTAGGAATAAAATTTATGGTTTGTATTATGTGATAAAATGTGGTAAAATTTGGTAATTTTAACATGATATCTTAGAGCATGACATAAAAACCATTTATTCGGTAAAATTTACTTTACAGTTTTGTATTTCCTACCAAATGCGAGGTAATTATGAACTATGGTTTGAGGTAACTATGAACTAACTGAGGTAACTAAGAACTATGGTTTCGTAAAACCTTAATTTTAATCAAACCTTTACCATGCGAACATAAAAGCGCATACGAGTGAAAAAGCTTAAAATAAATGGTTTAAATTAAATAACGTATAACGTTTTATTACCAGAATTCTGTTTTTCGTCTTCTTTTTGTACTATGAGAGCGGAATAACTACTGCGGAAATTTTTCCATAATTTTCTTCTTCCTGCATCAGCTTTAAATGAATGAAAATAATAACGGTACAGTATTTAGATTGGTAGGGCGTTGAACTCGTGTTCGTGAGAATAGGAGTTTGAATCCCGCCGGCCGATGCCATCTCATGTTTTAAATAGTGGCTGGTGGACTCTAAATCTGTCGGTGTCACAAAGTCCTCCAAGTTTCCATAACAAATCGATACCTCTGGGGGAACTAAGTTAGAGATTGGTAGCTCTCTGATTCAGGTAAAAATTACTATTCCTGGATGAATGAAATGATGTATGAAATAGGCTGTGATGTGAGTGTGTGGCTGAAATCATATTCTTGCCCATAGATGGAGCCACTGTAAAACAAGAAACACACCCACTGCCTTAAATTAGCTTTATAACTCCAGCAGGTTTCCTGGTATGGCAAGTAGGTAACAGAAGTAACAACAAACAGTAAATTAAATTTTTTTATTTATTTATTTGTATTTTTCCTGTTATAATTTAAATACAGAAAAGTTTAATTTACATTTCTTGAGTATGCTCAGCTATTTCTAACTATTATGCCGTTTATTTTCGACTCAGTTTGTCATTTTAGCTATTTTTGAAACGGTAAATTAACTATATTTCCACTTTTAATAAGTTATATTTACTTTTAAATACTTTATATTTTGGTTTTTATTACTAGAATTAAGGTATTTTTCTCTTTATCAGAATTGTCGTTACAATATAGTAGGGCTATTTAAACAGAATTTTTTCTCCGTGTAGTTATTTTATGACGGTAGATAGGTTAACTTACTTTTAGAAAAAATGTTCATTATGAAATAATTTTGCTTTTATTTTTTGAATTTTGGAAATATGAAGGATAATACTTTAAAGTACCATCTATGAATTAAAAAAATCACACATGTTTCCTCACTTTGATGAAAGTGTATCTCAATGTTTGTGAGTTATTAATTATTATATATACAAACGAAGCTGAAAAGATGTTTCTACATGATAAAAAAAATATGAAATCCAAAACAAAATTATAATTCCTTATTACATAAATAGGAGGAAGAACTATGTAAATCAGTTTAAAATTATAATGAATTGTTATCTAAGTAGGATGAAGAAATATGCTTTCCAATTCAAAATTATAAGTAATTGCTATGTAAATAGATTAAGAAATATGTAACTCAGTTTAAAATTATAGTTAATTGTTATGTAAATATGAGGAAGTTTAACTCAGTTTAAAATGATAATTCATTGTTGTATAATACATTGGATGAAGAAATTTGCATAGGATCAAAAATATGAAGAAAAAATATGAGAAATAATGAGATGTAAATATGATGAAAAAATATGTATTTTTCATCCTATGTACAGTAATTTATTAATATAATTAGGTGTTATGTAAATAGGCATTTACTATACATATTTTGTTAAAATTTCCTTTCAAATTTTAAAAAAAATAATCTTTAGCAAAATGTATCATAAAAAAATGTTTTGCACAGAAATCACATTATTAAATAAATTTTATTTTTTGTAATACAATATAAATTCTTCTAAAGTTCTGATTGATGCTAGTAGATTTTAAGTATTGCAGTTTATGAATTAATAACTAATTGAAAGCGTTTAGTTAAACCATATAAGTTATATCTGTACAAAATGTCAGATTCTTTAAATGTTCAGAAGTGCCACAAAATATGAAAGTTTTCCTGGGATTTTAGTGGGGAGGGACTTTAGGTGAAAATTATTAAAAAAACATGACAGATTAAATGTGTCTTATAATTATTATTGTTGGTTATCATTAAATAGCCTAAATTTTATACCTAAACATAAATTTTAACTAGCTTAATATTTGTTCAAAAATGAATATATTTTTAGTTAAGTAAAATTATAATTCCTGCGTTTTCCGTTTCATTTTCCGACAGCTTTCTCTTCAACTAAAGCATCGGCTGTAAATGTGCTTTTGATTAATTATTTTTAGATTACGAAGTTGCAAACAATACAAATTAAATATAAGTGACTGGTAGTATATCTCACACTAAAAAAGAGAATTTTAAAAAAAATCTCTCTCCACCTCAAAATTAAATAATTAGTCAAAATTAATTAATTAATTATTATTAATTATGTAAAAAAGTTTCGTCGAAACTTGTCCAAGGGGAGTAAATGCGTTTTTAATTTTTTTTGTTTTTGTTTTTTGTTTTGTTTGTGTGGTTGAGATTTGAATATAAAAGAATTTCATTAAAACATATTATAAAAGAATTTCTCAGAGCAAGAATTTTTAAAATTTTCTATATATCAAATTTATTCATTCGCATATTAAGAAGACCCTAAATTATTTTTCACTTTTAAAAGTTTTAAAAGTATTTAACGTTTGAAAAATGCTCCTTGCCCCTCCCCTAAGTAACTTCTCCGTGAGATCTCTCGTCTGCTTGCAAGCATATCGATATTTATTAGTAATATCATTTTTAAAATTTATCGAATGATAATTTTAAACTAGTTATAAACAATAACATATTTACATATTACAACAATATATTTACTTATTTTAATTTTTTAATTACTAAATAATAATTGACTGTTGATATGACTTGATAATTATCAACACTTTTTTCAAGTATGAACTTTTCAAAAACATTTAGAGTAAGGCTCCTATACTATCAGTGGCTCTAATTAGGGGTCTAATTCAGGGGCTCTAATTTAGAGTACATTAAATCAACTTACGTCATTTAAAAACCAAATTTGTTTAGTATCTGTTTGAAGTTTCGAAATGCATTAATGTTTATATTTTCATTCAAAAAATTAAAATTATTAATTATAGTCTTTGAAGCTAGTAAAATGTAATAAGAAAGTTTTCACAATTTACACAATTTAAAAATGAAATATTGTACTTATTAGAATATCGAGGGGCCTTATTTTCTACTTAAAATTTATCAGTATATTGATGTCTGTGTATGCTGTTGGAATTTTCTCGAAATAAATGGTTAAATAGCAATTTATGTAATCGTTGTTTTACCATGTTTAACCAAAACGGTTAAATACCCGTAAAAAGGATGGTATTCAAATTGTTAACTGTTAGAAAACCCGTTTAATGACTGTTTTCGCATACTACGGTTAAACAACCAGAATTGTATCCATACCAACCAGGATCCCCTTATGAAGGCATCACCTAGGCACTACCTTGTTTCTTGCAGATGGGTACATACTAAAGTTAAAAGTGATAAGTTGCCAATCCCCTGACGCTTGAATGGGGCTTCGAATCCCAACTTTGAAACCACAATATTTTTCCATTCCTTCAAACTGAAGAGTTTCTAGTGTCCTGAACTTCCCAATTAGTGACACTGGACTTTTAGAATACACGTACAAATCATCACGTACAAATCTCATTAACGTACAAATTTCAGCACTATTGAGCTTTCTAATATAGAAAAGTCTAGAATTTCCCAATTCTCGAGAAATATGTGATCAGCAAATAAACCAATTAAATCTCATTCCACAGTTGACAAAACACATCTCAGCCCCAACCTAACTCCAATGTCAATTACCTACCGAAACATCTAATTCTAATGTTCACTTAAATTTCTTTTTTATGGTTTTGTAAATTGTCACTAAACCACATAAATCTGTTTTATTGTTTTTTTTTCTTACCGTACCAAATAGACACGGTTTCAAAACCGTAAATAAATGTTCTCAATTGTAAACGTACGGTTACGTGGATGGACAGACTGCTGTCGCCTGTATTACCGTAATTTTAGAATGAAAATTCTAACAGCGTATTTCATAAAAATTTAACGTTTTAAAATCGTTTAGTTCGTTTAATCGTTTAGTTAAAATCAAAGGATTTTGCTTTGAATTTACAGAGAAGGTCCAAATTTCTTTAATTGTCATCAATGTAAATATTACAATGGTATTTCATTACCCTATGTAGTATTAAAACAATTGCTTGTGGCAAAGCTTCATAGCTTATTTAACGTCATTTAACTATATATATTTTCTACCTCTTTTAATATTATTCTCTGCTATTATAACATTTTAAATTTATTACATTTAAAAAAAATTAGATTTTATTGAATCATTCTATGTCTGTGAAAAAACAAATTAGATACTTTTTTCTATTTGAAGCTTTTTAGTATATTGATGTTTACATTTTCAATTCAGAAAAAAAAATACATTCTTTGAGCTAGTAAATTTGATAAACATTTTTTCACAATTTTGTAACTAGATATCATTTACATTGTACAAGTGATGCATGTTTATCAATTTTCTCTAAAAATATATCAATAAACTGATATCACTATATTATATAAAACTTTAATGTCCGAATACCGTTTCGTATTGTTATCAGCGTATTTTTATTGACCACGAAATCGCTAATAAAACAAATTAATTAGCAAAGAACGTCCAGATTTCTTTGATTATTATCAGCTAAAATAAATAAATTTTATGAAGGTATTTCTTTCAAATAAGACACTTATTTATCCCTTATTTAGTGGCATTTATCTGTAAGTTTCATTTATCATCCCTTTTGTCGGCTATTATTACGTTTTTTTGTTTGATTATTATTCAAAATTACGGGTACAAAACGAAAAGTTGTGCTCCTATATTATAAAGTAATCGTAATTATTGCCTTTTTAAGCAACATTTTATGATGAACATATTTAAAAAAGAAACTAACTTATTGACCTCTTAGAAATATTTTAAAGTAAATCAATAATGGTTAATTTTTTAACAAGTTTTGCGTAAAACTGTCCCCCTTCAAATAATGCACTGAAAATAAAGATAACAAAATAATAAAGCATAGTTAGGAATTAACTTTTCGCACTATTACTAAATAATTTCTTGTGCGGGAATTATCTTACGATCTTTCTTAAAAGTAACCAAAATTTTAATAGGAATTTAAAAAATAAAATTGTAGATGAAGTTGCTTTGGTAACCAAGCAAAATAATTAGGTTTCAATTTTGACCAAATAGAATCGAGAGTAATATCTGTGTTTATACAACAAAATATTTTGGGTGTAATTTTGGGGATTAGGGAGTTAAACGAGCAGGGGACAAGCCCCTAGCTCATAAATAAATATCTTTGTGATTTTCTCCATCAGTCAAAAACTTTTATTTTAAAATATTGTAATAATATTAATTATGTTCTAAATTATATTGCTATATTAATAAAACAGTTATTAAAAGAATAATTATCTGAACAAGATTTGTTTCCGAAAAAACGTTTTGTAAACAACGTAAAACCATTGATGTAAACATATATTGCATACGAAATTATTATTAATCAAATATTATTTCAGTAAAAGGTATTTTAAATGCGTGGGAACTATTTAGATAATACAGAAATTGTATCATTTCTTTCAAACTGTTTATCAAATATTTAATAACTTTTAATATTTTAGAAATATAAAATATTTAGAACAATATTGTTTAAAAACTGGAGAGTTTATTTAAGAAACAAACAAAAATGTGTATTTTTAATTATTTTATGTAAAATAAAAAAAAGTTATTTAATTAAAACCCATACATACATAAAAGCTCACCTGTTAGCGCAATCCTTAACTTAGGGGATGATTTGTTTTAACGGAGAAGGTGTGTTGGCTAGTTTTACGAAAGAAGGAGATTTTATTAATAGCGCCAAAAAGAGCGCTGTTGGCTGANCAAAAAATTGTATTTTTAATTATTTTATGTAAAATAAAAAAAAAGTTATTTAATTAAAATCCATACATACATAAAAGCTCACCTGTTAGCGCAATCCTTAACTTAGGGGATGATTTGTTTTAACGGAGAAGGTGTGTTGGCTAGTTTTACGAAAGAAGGAGATTTTATTAATAGCGCCAAAAAGAGCGCTGTTGGCTGATATCGTTCCCGCCCACGCGTTGGATGCTCGAGAAGTAGGGAATTGATGAATTTTGGCGATGTTTATTGAAAAATCGAGCGTATTTTTAATGTATTTTTTTCTCCAAAACCGTCGCTCCTTTATTTTTTTTTCATTCGGTGTTGTGGATAGAAAAATAGCGACAGAAGAATGACTTAAAGTATACTAGTAAGAGAATAAAAAGTTACGTTGTTTGAGATTCATTTGTAAAGCCATTTTATGAGAATTCTTTTCAAAGACTAGATTAAAGGTTGTTGGAATTTTAATTTAAAGTCAATTAGATCCTTAAACGAAATGAAAACATTTCTTAGAATTTATTTATATTTCAATTTCCACGTCATTTTTATTTTTCATTTCATATTCATGTATACGTTTTATTTTGAAATAACAATAAAAAAAAAACCATGCATATTTTTCAAGCATTTGCCACGTTTTATTGTCAATATGTAATCTATCCTATACAAAGAACTCATTTTAGAGAATTCTAAAAATGTTGCTACAAATGACTTGTTTTGGGCCACGTAAATTGGTGCCTTTTTATCATAACTTTGTAAAAAAAAAGTTCAATGTTACTAATTTAAATTTTTTATATTCTGAGAATATGGATTGTCTCTAAATTCGGTTTTAAGTGCCATCCTAGCTCAGGGGATAGATAATGGCTCAGCGAACTTTATAATTGAGTGTGAACATTTTTCAATTTGCATATTCGTTCTCGAGATTGCGGAGAAATACGCAAAAATTGAAACTAACATTATGGGGTTCAAACTTTGGATCACTCTCTTGACCAAATTATGGGATTCATATTTCTTAGACTGCGGCTACCCTCCATATTTTGGGGGTCCAAAATCCAAGTCTGACAAAAAAACAGGTATGTTTATTCAGAGAAAATACGCTTTTGTGTCTGATTCCGCAACTTAAAATATCGTTTGCAATAATTAATTAGCAAATTTAGAGGACACACCCTTGAGCAATTAAGATTGAGTCCTAGAAAGTGAAGATCCGATAGTTAGATCAAAAGTTGTTCCGGGTGTCCTTTTTTTGTAACTCACTGTACGTCAATCATATCGTTAAAGCAACCCCAAAATGAGGGAGAACAGTGTCCTAATAAAAGGAACGTTCTGAAAAGCTCAATGTCTAATGACCAAAGACTACAAACCAAACGATTATGATTAAAGTGTGCCTGATTTTGTAAATGAAAATATCATCTGCACAAATTAATTGACATATTTGAGCCCTCTAACCATTCATTCTTTGACGCAGAACTTTTACTGATACATATTTTTCATGCTTTTTTTATTATGTTGTATTAATTGTCAAGATACGTGAAATATATTATATTTAGCCTGTTTGTAATTTATAGTTATGAAATACTTCATCAGACACCGGTGTTCTTTTTTTTTCTTTCTTTTTTTCTTTTTTTTTTGAGTTCGTAAAATTTTTCAAACATGCTTCTCTTCCGAACAATAGTTTTTCAAATTTGTTCTTATTTGCAGATGTAAGAGAAACAGTTATTCATAATTTACAATATCAATTATGGATAAATTTTTGCACAGGAAAAAATATTAAACTTCGTATTGTAATTTTATATTTTAGCATAATTTGATAATCTAACAAGTTTTTTTAGTAGCTATTAGACTCTTTTTTTAATAATTAACTAGTGGGCTGCGCCCCCTGCTCGCTAACGTTCGCCAACCCCCGATAAATTCTAAGAATTCAAAACAATCATTCAAATCCATATAAAAACTTTTTTTTTCTTTTTAAAAAAACTTCATCTTTTTAGTAAATACTAAGTCATTAAAATAAATTTGAATTCAAATAAATGACATATAATTTGTTAAACCTATTAGAAATGTGCTATAGTATAATTCGTGATCTAAATCGAAAATCGTCAAATAAATTCGTAATATATAAATTCGTGAAAAAAAGCGCTTTCGACAAAATACTATATATATTGGATGTCCTAGG